TATCGTCCCCGCCCGTTCCCGCTGACTTCCTCCCTCCTCCCAACTCCCCCTGGTTTTGCCCGCGGAAGTGGTTTGGCGTTCCCCCTGCTCCCCTACCCCCCGCTGTCTAGTCCCCTTGGTTATGAGTGTGTTGCCTCTTTTCTAATTTGAGCCGTGCACATTTGCAGGGCTCTCTAACTATTAGCATGCATGCAAGTAGACAAATAAACAATAGTGGCACGTATGGCCAGTGTCTCTACATTTAGAGTATATAAAGGATATATGATGGGTTGTTGAATAGGCACAGTCTCTATGTTGTGACTTGCTCTTTATTGAAGCCGTCGTTTCGGAGAGCCTTGTAGGTCAGCCCCTGGGATGTCTGGGTTCAGGGTCGGTGCGGTGGAGTCAGGTCATCTTTGGTCCGGTGCCTGGCGTGGCTTTTGGGCTGTTCCCCGCGTGGTGGTGTCTTTGCGGCAATGGTTTTTCCCACAGTGGTTGTAGTGCTGGGGGTCGCCTCCGTGCAGTGGTGGTAGTGGTGTCTGATCTTGCCATTGGTAGGCGCAGGCCCAGTTTGGAGGCAAAAGCTTGCTGTTTGGTGGGGTCTGTGAGGATGTGGGTTGTGTTGTCTCTGCGGACGAGGAGTTTGAAGGGGTGCCCACACCTGTAGGCTAAGCCTGCTTGGGTTAGTGCCGTTGTGAGCGGATTCAGCTCTCGACGTTTGGCTAGCGTGGTGGGTACTAGGTCTTGGTAGAATGCCAGTGTGGCGGCGTCCAGTTTTGGCGGACTTTTTCTGGTCGCCTCCATAAGTGCTTCCTTGACGGAGTAGTAGTGAAGCCTCACTATCACATCTCTGGGGGCTGTGTGGTCTTGGCTAGGGGGCTTCAGGGCTCTGTGGGCTCTGTCCATGGTTAGCTCTTGTGGGGTTTTGTCTGGTAGTTGGGTCAGAAATACCTCTTGCAGCGTGGAGTGAAGTAACTCTCCAGTGATGGTTTCTGGGAGGCCTCTGATCCTGATGTTGTTTCGTCTGGATCTATTGCTGAGGTCTTCCAGTCCATTTTCCAGTGTTTCTATGCGTGATTGCAGAGTTGAAATGGTGTCTGCCTGGGCGGTCACTGTGTCCATAATGTCGTCCACTCTGTGCTCCACTTGCCCTGTCCGCTCCCCCAGATCTGTAATTTCTGCCTTTAGGCTCTGGAGCTGTTTCTCCAATTCTGCAGCCATGTGATGTTTTATATCGGCTGCTGCCTCTTTAAGCAGCCGCTGGAGGTCGGCTTTCATCAGCGGTGCTGACTCCGGAGCTGAGGGCTCGCTGTGCTCCGAGTCAGAATTTTCGGCGCCATGTGGGTAAGATGGCGCCGGGTCTCCTTGCACTCGGAAGTGCGAGGCGACCGACGGCTGTGTTTCCCGGTGTTTTCGGCTGCCGCCCATTGCTGTGGGGTACCCGGTAGGTGAGAGGGTTGGCTGGTGGGGATTACCGCTCTGCCAGTGTGCTGTGAGTTGCTCCATTGTGCCTGGGTCTCGGGAGCTATCGGCTTACGCGGCCATCTTGGTTCCCGGCCAGGCTCCGCCCCTTCGTTATTTTATTTTATATTGTACTTTTCTATGACATGCTTGCTCTAAGGCCTGCGGCCGCTCCAAATGTGAGTGCAGCGTTTTTTGTTTTAGTTTTTTTTTTTTTTCATCGCCATCTGGTGTGGGGAGTATTCACCGAAGGTTATAAACGTAGTTGTCAATTTTTTCGACTGTAAGACACGCTGTGTTCACACGTCCACTTTCATGTGCTGTTAGGACATGCCCCATATATATATATATATATATATACATATATATATATATATATAACTGGCATTTGTGTTTGGAGTATTGGGCCTCCCATTTTAGCACAGAATGGGTTTTAAATTAAACTCACCTTTATTACAGCTCTTAGAGGGTCCCCTTACTGCACTTGCAACCCACCTCCTGCTATGTAATTATTACTGTTGTGTGAAATCAGATACTTCTCAAATGGAAGCATCGGGACACACCAAAAATGCATGTAATAAAACCAAGGCTTCTCTATGAAAACCAATCACTTCCACTTTGAACTTTAACAGTCAGGAGGAGTTAACAAGAGGAATTACATAAATACAGATTTCTCTTGAAATTAGCACTCCTCAAATAAACTCTACTAAACATATAATTACTGACTGGAATAGTAAACTGAAGAGTAAGGCCAAAAAACAAAACAAAATTAGGTGTCTCAATTTCACATCACAAGGTACTTTATTAGTCCTATAATTAAGCTCATAATGGTTCAAAACAAGTAAAGTTGCCCTCACCCCCGGTTGTTAATATAGGTTAATGTTAACCTAATATGTAGTGTGTTGTAGACAGGTTAAAGGACCACTATAGTGCCAGGAAAACATACTCGTTTTCCTGGCACTATAGTGCCCTGAGGGTGCCCCCACCATCAGGGTCCCCCTCCCGCCCGGCTCTGGAAGGGGGAAAGGGGTAAAAACTTACCTTTTTCCAGCGCTGGGCGGAGAGCTCTCCTCCTCCTCTCCGCCTCCGTTACGCCCCGCCGGCTGAATGCGCACGCGCGGCAAGAGCTGCGCGCGCATTCAGCCGGTCTCATAGGAAAGCATTTGCAATGCTTTCCTATGGACGCTGGCGTGCTCTCACTGTGATTTTCACAGTGAGAAGCACGCAAGCGCCTCTAGTAGCTGTCAATGAGACAGCCACTAGAGGATTAGGGGGAAGGCTTAACCCATTCATAATTATAGCAGTTTCTCTGAAACTGCTATAATTATGAAAAAATGGGTTAACCCTAGAAGGACCTGGCACCCAGACCACTTCATTAAGCTGAAGTGGTCTGGGTGCCTAGAGTGGTCCTTTAAATTCAGTTGGTGTGGAATTCACACATTTCACTTTAAATTAAAGGGACATGTACAATTCTTTCTAGTTCTTTGCCAGCCCTAGAGCATTCTACCGCCATAGAAACATAGAATGTGATGGCAGATAAGAACCATTCGGCCCATCTAGTCTGCCCAGTTTTCTAAATACTTTCATTAGTCCTTGGCCTTATCTTATAGTTAGGATAGCCTTATGCCTATTCCACGCATGCTTAAACCCCCTCACTGTGTTAACCTCTACCACTTCAGCTGGAAGGCTATTCCATGCATCCACTACCCTCTCAGTAAAGTAATACTTCCTGATATTATTTTTAAACCTTTGTCCCTATAATTTAAGACTATGTCCCTCTTGTTGTGGTAGTTTTTCTTCTTTTAAATATAGTCTCCTCCTTTACTGTGTTGATTCCCTTTATGTATTTAAATGTTTCTATCATATCCCCCCTGTCTTGTCTTTCATCCAAGCTATACATGTTAAGCTCCTTTAACCTTTCCTGGTAAGTTTTATCCCGCAATCCATGAACCAGTTTAGTAGCCCTTCTCTGAACCCTCTCTAAGGTATCAATATCCTTCTGAAGATACGGTCTCCAGTACTGTGTACAATACTCCAAGTGAGGTCTCACCAGTGTTCTGTATAATGGCATGAGCACTTCCCTCTTTCTACTGCTAATACTTCTCCCTATACAACCAAGCATTCTGCTAGCATTTCCTGCTGCTCTATTACATTGTCTGCCTACCTTTAAGTCATCAGACATAATCACCCCTAAATCCCTTTCCTCATATGTTGGTTAGCATTCTATCAAACTATATCAAATATTCTGTACTCTGCCCTTTGGTTTTTACACCCATGATGCATTGTCTTGCACTTATCCACATTAAAATGTAATTTGCCACAACTCTGACCATTTTTCTAGTTTACCTAAATCATTTGCCATTTGGCTTATCCCTCCTGAACATCAACACTGTTGCAAATCTTTGTATCATCAGCAAAAAGACATATCTTACCATCAAGACCTTCTGCAATATCACTAATAAAAATATTAAAGAGAATGGTCCAAGTACAGATCCCTGAGGTACCCCACTGGTGACAAGTCCAAGCTTCGAATATATTCCATTAACTACAACCCTCTGTTGCCTGTCACTCAGCCACTGCCTTACCCATTCAACAATATTGGAATCCAAACATAAAGATTGCAGTTTATTGATAAGCCCTCTATGTCCAACAGTGTCAAAGGCATTACTGAAATCTAGGTAGGAAATGTCTACTGCTCCACCCTGATCTATTATTTTAGTTACCCAATCAAAAAAAATCATTAAGATTGGTTTGGCATGATCTCTCTGAAGTAAACCCATGTTGTCGTTGATCTTAAAAATCCATGTGATTTTAGATGTTCAACAATCCAATCCTTTAACATGGTTTCCATTACTTTCCCCACTACCGAAGTAAAGCTTACCGTTTGCGGTTTGACATAAAGCGTGGCTTTTCCTATTGCATGCTCTGTCTGGCTACATTGGTAATCAATATGGTAGAAGAGGTATCAATCTTCAGCCACTGAGAAGACTCCAGCTTTTTTTTTACTGAGCAGGCTGCAGTAACTATGTTGATTAAAGAGTCCATTTAAACCGGATCTTAAAATTTTTATGTTTACATTTTTCTTTTTATTCCAACTGTAGTGCAATGCAATATGTCACCAAAACACATCGGGATGCCATTGTGATATGTGTGTGGGCATTCAATTAATATAACACTACACTGCTGAAGTTGGTAGGAAAGGCATAGTTTGCAAGTCAAAAATATGAGAAAAAGGATTTAGACTCCTGAAAGAAGATTCTGTATGGTCAACCCAGCTATATGCACTGTTGTCCCACCATAAACGTCCAGCAAAAGGCTATCGTCTAAAGGCATTGCCATTCTGTCACGGAATTTCCTGGCAGACCACACAGTAACAATGACAAATGTCTCCCTTTTACCTCCATGTGAATGGCCTCTTCAGAAGGTAAAAAAAAGAGAATACATCTTAATCTATGCATTTGCTAGTATAATATGTAGGTAATATTTTTCAAAAACAAGCGCTCACTATAATTGATTTTTTTTTGTACCTTAACAGTGACACTATACAGAAATAACAACAATAGCTTTTAATTTTTAAATTTTAATCTTCATCTTAAAAGTGCTTTAGCTATCCCCTGCAGCGTAGGGATTACAATAAAAAAACAAAACAAAAACAAATTACCTCGCTGATAGGTAAGGAGTTAACGAAAACACATTATTTAAACAATCCGTGTGTCAGGTTTATAGATACTCACAGAATGTGTTAGAGAACATATTAAACAGCATAACAGTAATGGCTAAATCCCCACCATCAATGTGACATCATCAACAAGCTACAGACCGGTTATAAATGTGACCTCATCAATGTAATGCGAAACATGAGACAATTCCTCCTCCGGCTGTTGGGTTGATGTCAGAGCATCCCTGACTCAAAACCATTAATAATATATTTCTTTTTTTGTTAAAGCTGTACAAACCTGTGACACGTACGGTTTGGATGACAAATTCACTACAAAACAAGTCTGAAAACACACAATTAGAAAATAAAACAATCCAGTGTACACTCACAAATACAGTCATATGTGCCACAAAATAAAATTAGAAAAAGCATAAATTAAAAGCATAACAAAACAACAAGCTGTTGAAACCTTCTGGCACGGTGAAATTAGCAGGACGCACACATGCTTTTGCAGATTATAAATATTAAACCACACATTTAAGGCAGTATGTATATTAAAATTAAACAGTTTCACTCAGTAGAATGTCCCTTTAAGAAAAATTGGCCTTAAATAATTGCTGGGGGTCATACCTGCCGAACAGTGTGCCCAGTCCTCTTCTGCGCTAAATGAAAATGTATCTTTCAGTATGCCCTTTTCTTCATAGCTGCTTATAAAATACCAGGTAAGGTATATCTGAGTTCAGCGACTTACATTTAGAGACTTTTTATTAAAAAGTGAGCGGAGTTATTAATGGATTTGTAAAGTACCCGACCAGTAAAATCAAACACCAAAGTACTTTGGCAACATAAACCCACGGTGTATCTGCCACTAGCAAATTAATCATTCTGCAACAGAGTGACCAGCACTTTGTGTCCACAACAGCGCAGTGGTGGGAGCGATCTTAGATGGTAGGAAGGCTAGATATGGCATGCAAATGACAAAAGTATTATTTAACATCAGATCAGGAGTGTATTTTTATTCTTTAACTAAGCACAGCTTATTCTATCTTCATGAGAAAGGGATTCCAAAGCTTGAATTTGGATTTGACCAAACATGACTAAGGAGTGGATTAAGAGATCCTATTTATGAAACCTACTTTCCTTTTTTATCCTTCATAAATTAAGGCACATTAAATACACACACAGACACACAGAAACCTCAGACTTGGACAATACAGCAGGTAATGGCAGAGCAGACTCGATATCTTGCAGCCACTGTTGGAAATTTTCTTCTAAAGCACTGGTCGTAGAGGAAAAAGTGTGAGTTAAGTCAGGTCCTCGTATCTATATACAGAAACATCTCAGCGCAGGAGAAGACAAAAAAAAAAGACCATCTCAAAATAGACGCAGTCAGTGGTTGCAAGCATGAAGGAGACTAGATATTTACAGTGCAGTCTATTATTGGGGCAATATCGATTTCCAAATGACCACTGGTTCTCAGAGGTACTGACTGGGCAGGAGGATGGACAGAAAAGAGAATCAGTGCTCTCAAAAAAAGAAAAAAAAAAGTTTATAAATATATAAAAAAGCGATAAAGGGGCCAAAGTGCAATTTGAATGGGGGTTTCACTGTACCCTCCCCATTCGAAAGACCAGTGAATAAACAATATACGTTGGGTCAAAGTGCTTGGTGGATCTAAGATTAAAAACTGGTGAGAGACTTTCAAATAATTACAGTACCTAAAACAACTGAAAAATAAAATGAATTGTTGGGTGTTCAGATATAGAATTGGAATATGAAATCATGTTTTTAAAATGTTGGGCTGATAGAAAGGCTATTGTTTGATGAATTTCATACAGGTCAGTCTCGTTACCAGTGCTCTCTGCGTTTGTGATCCTGGTCTCTTCGCTAGTTGTCGCCATCAGTGTTGATGTTGTGTTTATGGTCACGTGGATTTTCCTTCTGCCACTTGTGGTTAGAAGCCTTGTGGTGATTTTTGTTTCTGTCCTGATTATATTTTAGATCGGAAGAATAATGGTGGAAAGCCTTCCTGTCTTTATTATAGGAGAACTCATCTGGTCCATGTTCATGATTTCTTGATTCCTTCCAAGGCTTTTTTTCTGGAGATTTCTGGTAAACGTTAGAATGGTCATGATGTTCTTTAGACATTTTGTGATGTTTGTTAAACATATCTTTTTCATGCTTCTGCTTGTGAAGTTTGTGATCTTGAAGGTTTACTGGCTTTCCATCTCGCTCATTCTGAGTGTGGGGTGATGTGTATTTAGCCTTATGACCTTGTTCCGGCTTTCCATTACTCTCAAACGTTGGCTTGTGGTCATCATACTTCTGATGTCCCACTTCTTCCTTGTTCTTTTTATGGCGGCTTTGTGACCAACTCTCATCATCTGTATCATACTTTTTGTGCTTGTAGCCATCGGCATCCCCTTCTCTTTTTTCATTTTGAGGTTTGTAGGTTTTGCGGTCCAGCTGGTGATAATTCTGCTCCTTTTTAAAGTTGGACCCCTTCTCCACATGATGGTTATTAAGTTCCACTTCCTCCTCATATCGTGGATTGAACTTTTTGTGCCCATGTTCATCTCTATCTTTGTGGAAGTGATATTTAGTAGATTTATAATTTTGGGTTCCTTCATGTTCATATTTGTGATCTTTGTTGTCTTGTTTTTCCTGGTAATGCCGATTTGGTGTCCTCTGTTGGTTCTGATGAGAAGGCACATCATTATCCTGGTAGGTTTTTACGGAAGGTTTGTATTTAGAAGTGTGAGGATCCTTTCCTTCTTTGGATGATTTATGTCTGGATTCAGCCTGGCTGTTCTCCATATGCGCTGGTTTCTTCCGAGGTTCTGTGTTATGGTGGTGGTGAGGTTCATGTATG